GAAGACCTTTCGATATGAAAGAGTATTCATTCGAAAGCTTTAATGTAGTATTTTTATTTTACTCTAACAACGAAGTTTGAGTTTATTATAAAAATAACGAGATATTTTAAAAAAAATTCATGTGACACGAATTATAAATTTTTTATTTAATATAGAAAATAATTTGAAAGGACATGTCACGCGACTGGTAGTGTAATTAATGCCGATCATTTCTTAAAATTGAATACCCGCTATGTTGATCCGGGCTCAAAAATCCAAATTTATGTACGTTACATAGATAAGTTACGCGAAACGCGTTTATAAAATTCTTAAAATTCTTCAAAAAAAGTTGCCAATCCATAACCAAAGTATACAATGTATAGTAAAAATTACTCTTTCTGAAATAAATAAATAATTTTAATTAATTTAAAGCAAATTTTCACCAGCTTAATGATAGCTTCTTATTGTTAGTAAAACTATCTTATTAATAAAATATTTTTTATATTTAGCATTTGAAAGTGAAAAACTGGTATAAATCATTAACAGAAAATAATATTATAAATTATTTTATTGAAAAGATCAAAGTATTTTTGTTCATGATGATTCATATCAACTGAACACCATCGATAAAAGCCCCTATAGGCATGGAATCTGATTTAGAAGATGAAAACACAGTATGGATTCCATTAATTTAATTCTAACAAAAAAGAACAAGTATGTTGGACTATCTATTGATATAAAAAATGATGGAGAATTACAGTATACATTTGAGAGTTTTGAAAATGACTATATATTCACCAGTTCAAAGGAAATAAAACATTATGATCATATGTTTAACAACTTCAAAGATGAATTAGGAGTTTCAGAAAAAATATCTAAACCATCATTATTAGGATCTGACAATATTGAAATATTACCTATTTATGTGACCAAGTGCTTGAAAAATGAAATTTTGCAAAGGAGAATTTATCTTGAACAAGGACTCCAAAGCCTTTGCAAAATAATGGTTTTTTTTTGTGAAGAAAAATATAAATGCTTCCAACAAAAATTACTTAACTTTTATGCATGGTCAACAGATACTGTCTTCTTCCTGTGGTAGCTGTAGTAATTGTCAATGTAGAGCTGTTGACAACCCAGGCTTAATCAATGTAACTACAGATGCAATTAGAGTAATTAATATCATTAGTAGAACAATTGAAGAATTAGAAGAAGATAATATCATTGTTAGAGATGATGTAATTGGAATTTTTCTTCAATTGAAGAATAAAAAAATAATTGACAAAAAATTGAATTCACTTTCAATTTATGAGGAAAATTTTGATAGAACAATTAGGAATTCAAAACAGGCATTTCACTTACTTGATGATTT